TCTCCAACGAAATAATGAGGAAACTTAATATTGCTGTCTGGTAAAAAGTCATCCTCAGGCAGGTCTAGTTGATCATGGAACAGCCTTTGACCAAATCCAGAATTACAAAGCACACCGCCGTCGCTTTGCGAACCGTACGCACCAATATCGATAAAAGTGAATGTGTAATTCGCATCGCAACATGCTAATAATACGATGGAGTAGGTACCCTTGTAACTGTAAAATAGAGATCCGGAGTTAGAAGGACATTTTAAAGTGATGTGCTTTCCGTCGATTGCGCCCACACAGTTCCCGAAATTCCAAATAGTGTTGAAGTCATGGGATATACGTTTCCACTCGTGCCTTTTTGGCACAGACAAATATACACTGCCAAGTTCACTCCAAAGCGCTTTGCAGGTTTCCAAAATTATTTTGTTGACTGTGAAGCGACCCATTTTATACGCTGTAGCGTACAAATGCTGAGTTCCCCCGTGTGCTAGGAAACTATGAATGTAATGCACACAAATTAGTATGAAAATTTCTTTAGAAATATTTACTTACTTCAATGTTAAGAATAGTCTCATTTCTGCAGAAATTGACGGCCTGTAGGAATACTTTATGAGGCGTTCCTTCACGAGCCCAAAGAGCAAATCAAACACCTCCTTAGTCATCCTCACCGTAGTTTTAAACTGCTCCGGGTCATTTTTGTACATTTCGTCAAAACTGGTTACAAATAGTCCATCAATGTCGCGACTTAGGTAAAGAGGTCTTACCCACTCCCGCCGCCGAGAATTAATTTTCTTCAAACACTCGCTAGCCTCGTGCATAAGTAGCACTATTAATATTATTTCGATAAAAGATGACATTATTTTTTTTAATAACACTCGAGGATACACAACAATTTTCACTGGCAAAAAACAAAACAAATGTCTATTTGATGATTTAAATTATTGGGCCGGCTTCCTATGAAGCTATACCGCCGTAAATAATTCGGCTTTGTTGTATTTGTTTGCGTTTTATTAACTAAATTATAAACTTTTTCTTATTTTCCGGTTGTTTACTCTACCACGTGGCTTGAACAAATGTCATCGCCGGCGCTGTCAAAACTTTCATTGTAGCAAGAACACACGCCACTCGCGCTGCTGTCAAAGCGACGCCAACGCCAACGCAACGCCAAAGTTCTATGTGGACGGGCCTTTACTCCACCAAAGTAGGTACTCTACTTTCTCTCATCCCTTACGAGAGATATTTGCTGCTGCCAAACGGGAATAGCAAATCTACTCTCTGTATACTTGTAGTACTGTAAGTACTTGCGTATTAAATTTCATTTCTGGTTGTTAGCGTACTAGTGATATCGTTTACTGCTCTGGTCACCGAAATTGAAAGGGTAAAAATAGAATATGGAAACTGACGATGTAAGGAAATGTTTACGGCCTTATTTATAAAAAATAACGTAGATTTAGACAGTTGTTTAATGTGACATTTTCACAAAACTTTTGTATTTAAGCAGATTTTTAAATCTATGTATGTACTTAAATTTTTATGAAAGTATTATTTCTCGTTTCTAATTTTCTATAAAACTATTTGCAGTCATTAACCAAAAAATAAGTTGTCAAAAACAAGAACTTAAGCAATGCTGCTATACGAAATAAAATTATTATTGGCAAATCAAAATTTTGAAAAGTGCCGATTTTCACATGCGATAGTTGGACATGGTAGCGACGAGATGTATGAGCATTTTTTTCTTAAGAGCTGCATACTGATTTAAGAAATTTTTTATAGAAGCAAATTTATTTTCCATTTATTGTGCGTAATTTTATATGAATTTTGAGTTTTTCCTGAGAGCCTTTACAAATAAAAACAAGTAAGAAAGTCTAAGTTCGGGCGGAGCCGAACATTAAATACCCGGCGCAAGTATTAAGGCTGTGTGCGAGTTGACCTAAATTTTAGTACCTAAACTAATATTCCACTGGAAATTTCCAGCACTGCTACAATTTAGGAATACAGCTGCTAAAACCGTGCGAGTTCGTTTGACAACCTAAATTGTTTGTTTTGGAATTTGAATTTGTTTGCTTTTAATAAATATATCTATAAAATGAATAAGTTTGTGGTAGCTTTGGACTATTTAACAATATAATAAATTTGCAACAGAAAAGGAGAATGCTCCATCCATCGAATTACACATAAATGCAAAAATCAAATAAATTTATACTTGCATCTTTCTGGATATTTTCTTTTTTGTGCCATAGCAATGATAAAAATTATTTAAAACATCAAAAAATCGTTGTTCATTTAATCGCTCGCTCAAATATATTTGACCGTTCAATTTAGGTTGAAAAGTATGCTCGCAGAAAATCTAAATTGTTCCTATTCACTGCGTTACCGACACTTTCCAGTGATTTAGGATTTTTCTCTATTTAGGTAGCAATTTAGACGTACTCGCACAGAGCCTAAATATATGTTTTCCACCTTTCCGAAAGCTACCGCTACATGATAAGCGGGTGTAAAAATTCAAAAAAAAACTAGCATCCTTAAATTTCGAAATATTTAAATTTAAAGCATTTCTGAAATTTACCGTTATATGAAAAGCGGCCGTAATTTTAGTCCGATTTCAACAATTTTCAACGGTTTGCTTTTATGTGGCAAGCACAATAACCATACCGAGTTTGGTACAAATTGCTAGAACCGTTAACGAGATACATATATGTGATCATAAGTGGGCGGTGCCACGACCATTTTCCAAAATTTTATCATAAACGTATTTCCTGGTAAAGAATTGTTGCAACCATCAATTTTGAATAAATTAGCTTTAATATTTACTGATTTATCGAGGATTTCGTATTTCTCGAAATTACCGTTATATGGGATGTGGGCGTGGTTACTTTCCGATTTTGAAAATTTTCGGGCATTTGGTATGCTGTACCAGGGTCAACAACTGTGCCAAGTTTGGAAGAAATTGGTGCAGCGGTTACCAAGATATACACATGTAACTATAAGTGGGCGTGGCTACGCCCATTTTCCATACATTTTTAATATTCTTATTTTTCGTCTGAAAGTCATTCTAAATGTAAATTTTGAGTGAATTATCTTCAGTAGTTACTAAACTATCGCAGTTTTCGTATTTCTGAAAATTACCGTTATATGGGAGGTAGGCGTGGTTATTGTCCGATTTCGCCCATTTTCAATACCATCCGTCCTACGACCGAAAGAAGTGCATGTACGAAGTTTGTTAAGATATCTCAATTTTTACTCGAGTTATCGTGTGCACAGACGGACGGACGGACGGACAGACATTCACCGCTTAATCGATTTCTCTTTTCATTCTGATCATTTATGTATACATTTGTCTATATCTATCTCGATTCGTTTTGCCTGTTACAAAGAACCGTTATGTGAACAAATTTATAATACCCTTGTGCACAAGTGCGCTCGGGTATAAAAATTCGATGAAAAACGTATCATTTTGATCCATTTGAATCAAAACGGCAACACTGATGATATCCCAAAGTTAAAAAAATAACTAAAACCGAGATTTCTCTGCTTTTCGCATCGAAAGAGTTAAAAGAAGATAAGGCACTGGAAATGCAACATAAAGCTCTGCCATTGCTTGAATTCCGGCAACAAGTATCAGATTTAAAATATCCGCTGTTGAAAACAGCTGCGTGCGGTATATTTTAAATTTTTGGTACAACATATAACTGTGAGTGTTTGTACAATGAAATTCTTAAAGTAAAAATACCGTTCACGTTCGCGTACCTGTTAATTATTGAAAGTTATAAAAATTATCAGCTTTTTGTGTTCGCGTACGTAAAAAACTTGCAAAGTAGGGAAATTGAGAGAGCAAAATGACATTTCATTTGAGGGAAATCTGCTAGTTTCTGCTGGAAAAATTTTTGCCAACAGCAATTTGCCAACAAAAAAACAGCAGATCAAAAACAGCTGGTTGGAATTTACGCAAATCCCAAAATTGAATTTGATGGTTTGGAAGTTAAAATAGTAAAATGCGACTAATTAAACTTGTAAGAAGTAAGTTTAGCCAGTGAACTGTGTCAGGATAAGACTTGGAATATGTTTTCTCACGGTTTCAATTTTATACTTTTGAATGTAAACAAAATTTTTATCAGCTGTTCGTCTAACTTGCAAGTTTCTGTAAGTTTTCTGTTCGCGAACTATTTTGGATATTTTGCTCTTGTGAGATAACATATGACATTTCGCCGGAATTTCGCTGTTGGACATATTTTACTGAAGATTTTAAAAGAACGTACCTATTGACTATCCAACATTTAACAGAATTGTTACGAACGGCTTTAACTGACCTAAAACCAGATTTTGAAAATCTCAGCAAAGGGATCTTTTGAATTTTCTTGTATATCTATCTTACGTACAATAGAATAATAATAAAATTAATGTTTTTCATTTCTAATAATAATTTAATTTAAAAATAAAATTTTTGTTTTTCTTGTTCTTTTTTTGTAGCTCTTTGTAGCATTTAGAACTTAGATGTGGCTCTTTTAGGCCTCGGCCTTGCCCTGGCTATAAACATTTTCATACAAGGCAGGATTAAACAGTATTAAAAATATGCTGCAGAAACACAACAGCAAACAACAGCTGAGCTAAGAAGCAATGATATGCTATAACAGCATGTTTGAGATGGAATGACATGGCATAGCAATGCATGGAATTTTTGAAAATGACATTTTAATAGATACGCTGGGAAGAAGTTAAGAAAATGTTTAAATTTATATTTTGTTACCTACTTCCCCGATTTGAAATCTGAAAACTATACCTATCATGAGCATGAAATGGTATTATAACTTTGGTCCGATATTTGTAAGTACCAGAATAAGAAGAGATAGACTCATGAAAATGTGTACTTATGTATGTGACCAGAACATCGAGCTGAGCCGACTTAGGCATATGGCAACCGAACTTTAGTTGGGTGGCCACTGGCTGAAATGGTTTTACAGATGGCAACTGCAAGCTGGCAACTGAGTTGCTATATTGGCAACTGCATTTTTGTGGTCGCTGCGGTAATAATCGAAGATTGTATACCAACATATAAGGTAAACTTCAAAATCTAGGGGGGGCTCGAGCCTGCCCCCCAGCCCCTACGTAGCGACGCCCATGCAAGTAACTACTTCTGATCCGTTGGCATCTCGAGTTGTTAAAAATTTATTGGAAAAACTGAATTGTAACCCAGCAAATCACGAGGTTTTTTTGACAACTTTTTTACAAGCTACGATCTTTTTGTTGACTTGAAAAACCTAGGCTACCGAGCTACTGGAACTGTACGAGAAAACCGAACTAAAAAATGCCCACTGACTAGCACGAACGACATGAAAAAGAAAGAGCGTGCATCTTATGACAACAGCTTTGACATGGAAAGTGAACAGCTACTGGTAAGGTGGAAAGACAATAGTGTATGTACAATGGCGACCAACTACGATACCATTGAACAATTAGGGGCTGTCAAGCGATGGTGTCCAGTAAAACGGCAGAAACCGACGTGCCGATACAACGATTGTTCCAAAATTACAACAAAAACATGGGTGGAGTAGATGAACTGGATCAGTCCATCGCGCTATATAGAATCGCTATTCATGGGTGTTATTTACATACATGTTGGACATGGTCATTGCTAATTCCTGGCGTTTACATGTGATGAGTAATGATGCACCCATGAATCAACTCATGTTCCGACGTCATATCGCACGATATTATCTACGCCACGGTGTTCAAAAAAATCGCGCCAGTCTGCGTCGGTGGTTCCAGGCCTACCTCAAGATGGAATTGGACACTACCCCACTAAAACTTAAAAACAGTTGCGGTGTGTCCTTTGTCCTTCAAGAGTGCGCAGGCAATGTAAGAAGTGCCTAAAAACATTTTGTGTCGAGAAAGTATGTTTCGAAAATTTTCATACTTAGGCGGTCAGTGTACTCATTTGAGTACACCCCTGTAATCTCCCGGAAACTATGTTTTTATTATTTTTTCTTTGATTTTATGTTCCCTTGTGCTATTTTCAATTTATAAATAAAGATGGGTCCAAAATTATGTTTGTACTTTTCATTTGACCTCTAATGGGTTAACATGGCGATGTCCTAGGAAGTGTCAATTGCCCCCTGCTGCATCCCTTTTCTGATAGTTCCGAACTAGTGCTAAATTCTATAGTTCCGAACCAGTTCTAAAAT